CAGAGACACTTCCAGTAACACAATAACACTGCAAGGAAAGAATATGCAAGCTGAAGACACAGCTGTGTATTATTGTGCCAAATAAACACAGTGACAGACGCCAACAGCCTCCCTGTACAAAAACATAATCATCATATCACAAATTAAAAGTGTTTCTGATAATTTCCACAGTCTAATCACTAAAAATAATTTGCACTTAAATAAAGAAACCAATAAAACTCAACAATCATCAATTTTTGCAGTACTTTACCCTTGCTATTTGCTAGTTCTTTACAATATGTGGAAGATAAGATTTATAGGTCATCTTGTTATTTAACAATAGCCAGAAACACAATATTGCTTCATAAGCATCACAATAATAATTGGATGTAATGAATGTATAAACATTAAATAGTACATGAAAATGACTGAAGAGGTCAAAGAACAGTAATTCACAGATTTGAGAAAATCCCAGAACTACTGAAATTGTTAAAATAAAAAAAAAATATAGAACTTGTGACATTCTTATTCAAGTATGTTTGAAGAGATTAAAAAATACAGACTGATATAATGTAAAAAAAAAAAAATCTTTAAATGGAAATTAAATGACAAACAAAATATTATGGTCATTTAATATTATGAAAGAAGGAGATTCTTTCTATACTTATCTCACCAACAGTGGCATATTTTATAAAATTTAAAGCTCCACCCAAATGTAAATGATATTACATACAGTATTTGTACCAGCAGTGTTCAATGACATTGTAGCAGTTGACCTTCCTGCATCATTTAAAATGGCAGACATTTCATTCTTATTTTTTCTCCTGATGTGCTTTACTAGTATGTATAGACAATCTATTTGTCTGTGTAATAATATTTAATTCTGGCTTCAGATTTTATTAATAGATTAATAGATGTAATGTATAATGCTGACAGGCCATTATAATTTTTTGTTTTAGGTGTTACCGGTCAGAGCCTGGAGTCCATCCCATCAAGTCCTGTCACCAAAAAGCCTGGAGGAACTTTGAATCTCTCGTGTAAAGGATCTGGATTTGATTTTGGACAGTACGGCATGCACTGGATCAGACAGCCAGCAGGACAAACATTCATCTGGATGGGGGTTATCTGGTATGATGCCAGTAAAACAGTGTATGCTAAAAGTGTAGAGGGACGAATAGAGATCACTAGAGATAATTCAAACAGCATGGTGTATCTGAAACTCTCTGGTCTGACAACAGAAGATACAGCTGTATATTACTGTGCAAGAAATACACAATGATGCAGAAAAAGCACTGAACGGTACAAAAACATGCCAGGGAGGAAAATTAGATTAAAACAACAACAACAACAGATGGCGCTGCAGCACAGTACAACTCTGAGCCAAAGAAACAGACCAAAGACATCTTATCCTAATGGATGATATACTGGCCAATATTTACCTATATTTACCTAGAATATAAACTATTTAAATGCCATGATTGCTGATACATATGCCATGAATGACCTTAAGTGAATATATAAGAAAAAAACAAATATCAAGTTGAATTAAATATGTTTAGTCACAGATCCATCTCTGTCAATGCTGTCTTCTGAAAGAAATGTAAAAAAAAAAAGAAAAAAAAAGATATGTAGATACTCATTTACTGGGTTGCATATGCAGTATTGTATGTAAACATTCCTCCTCCTCTTTATTTGAGTATTAAGATGAAAAGAAGCAGCTTGTTCTCACTCGTCTCAAACCATGATCTCTTCATCTCTCTGGTTGTTGCTGCTGCTGGCAGCTGTTTCTCGTAAGTCTTCATATAGCCTCTATAGCAGTGTTTCCCAACCGGGGTGCCGTCTGTCGAGAGCAGGGGTGCCGTGTAAAATTTAGTGACTGACAGCAGCTACTGTACTCACTTCATTCGGCAGCCTGCAGAAAAAGCTCTGGAATGGGTTGGAAGGATGTGTGGTAGCGGTGGCACACACTACAGTGATAAACTGAAAAGTAGATTTCAAGTTACCAGAGAGTCTTCCAGCAACACAGTAACTCTGAAAGGACAGAGCTACTGTGTTGCTGGATTATTCTTATGAAGCTCATGACTATGAAAAAAAAATCAAATTAATCTCTTTTACAGCAATAATGCTAGTAGTCTGTACTTGCTAGTGTCTGTTACTTCAGTGCCTGCTGAGGAGCAGCTGTTCGACTCACTGAACACAACATCTCTTAAGAAAACATTTACTGCCTACCATGTAGTTATGTTTGTATTTTCATAGTTAATAGTAGTTTCGTAGTTTAATAGTTATAATTGTTACGTTCCGTGTTTATTTATATAATATTGTTGGTTGTTACGTGCTGCTGTGTGCTTTTTCTCTGTCTCTGTGTTATTACTGCTCAACCAGGTGCGGAGGAGAGTGAAGTGATCACTCGCACCTGTTGATACTGTGTAAAACTTACTCAAGTTACGGCTTATTGTAGCCTACCTAAGAAGCAATTGGCGTTGTTGTTGCGCTATGTGTTTTCTCCGTGTTGGAAGCCGTAGGGAGGTGGGTGCCATTTTGTTTCTGTGAATCTTTTTCTCTTGTTTTTGCTTAGTTAGGGAGTTAGGGTACTTTTCTGTTGTTAATTTCCTTTTGTTTCGTCAGTTTAAACAGTTTTACTCCTTAACTAGTTAGAGGGTCCTTTTGCTTGTTGTTTTGGCCTTTTCCCCCTTCTGAAGCCTATTTTGCTTCCTATTATACTTTTGTCCTTTGGAAATCTTGTAAATAAAATACTTGATTTTTGGAACTTAACGTGTCTGTTGTGCTGGGCAGGGGACTGGTACTCACTCACCCCAACCAAATTTGTTTACTTTTCCCTGTTACCCCACCTACCCTAGACCCTTACATCTGGGACGTAACAGTGAAAATTGGGGGCTCGTCTGTTATCTATTCAACACCGTAAAGGAGGGAAATATTCCATTTGGAGCAAAGTGAAGCTGAAACCTTTTGTTTTATTCGGTGTAATACTAATACTTTTTTGAAATCTTGTGATTATGAAAAATTGATAGCTTGTTTATTGTGAGCATTTCAAGCTAATTTGTACTTATTTGTACAAAATTGTGGCTGTTTTCTTTTCTTTGGTGGGGGCAGTGAGGTCATTTTATGTGGAATGGAATTTGATTTGATTGAGTTTACCCTTGCTCCCTCAGTAGAAGTTTTCAATCGCTGCCGTAAGAAGGACTTGCTGTTAATTGCTGACTTCTTTAATATATCTGTCTCTAGGGATGTAACAAAAGCGGTTATAAAAGATCAACTGTACACTGAGTTAGTTAACGCTGGTATCTTACCGATTGATTCACAGACTGAAGAGGTAGAGGAGGGCAATGAGGTAGCTGAAATGGCTGAAACTAGTGCTGCAGTTTTTCCCCTTGATATTGAACCAAGCATGGATCCTTTATTAGCGATCAAGCTAAAAGAACTTGAGCTAGCAATCAAAAGACAGGAGTATGATACTCAAGTTATCCATCTCCGGGCTATTGAAGCACAGGCTCAGCGAGATATTAAGCTTAAAAGTTTAGCAATTGAGGCAGAGACTTTACGCCGTAAGCCTGTGCCGGCCCCACGCTCTAGACCTTCCTCACCTATGACGGCTGTTCCGGTACAGAGTAGTACTGTTAATTTTGGTACTCCTAATGATGCTCAGGTTAACTTTGATGTAGCAAAGTATATTAAACTAGTACCTCCCTTTCGAGAAGCTGAGGTAGATGCTTGCTTCATAGCCTTTGAGCGAATTGCTGAAAAATTGGGTTGGCCCAAGGATATGTGGGGCCTACTGCTTCAATGTAACTTTGTGGGTAAGGCCCAAGAAGTATGTGCTGCGCTACCAATAGGGCAGTCCTTTTATTAATGATGTTGTGAAAGCAGCGGTGCTACGTGCATATGAACTGGTGCCTGAAGCATATCGCCAGCGCTTTCGAGGGATGGCGAAAACAGCCAAACAAACCTTTGAGTTTGCATGAGAAAAGAGAACCCTCTTTGAAAAATGGTGCTTAGCTAGTAAAGTTACCAGTCTTGATCAACTGCAGGAACTTATTTTGCTTGAAGAATTAAAAAATTGTATTCCAGAGAACATTGTAGTCCACCTAAATGAGCAGAAGATAAATTCACTCTCTGAAGCTGCAGTGTTAGCGGATGAGTTCGCACTCACACACCGGTCAGTATTCTCTTCTACACGTCAGTTTAGACGCCAGAGTTTTGTAGATGAGCAGACAGAGAGGGTGATGTCACCTGTTCTTTCCTCTGAGAAAGGTAAACCTATGCTGGATCGCTCAAGCAACAAGCGTGTCTGCTTTTACTGCTTAGATCCAGGTCACCTGATATCCAACTGCAAAGCATGGAAACAGAAGTCTGCTGCTGAAAAGTCCAAGAGTGTAGCTTTCGCTCAAGCTGTTTCTGTCTCTGACTACTCCTTTCCACAGCTCCAGAGTTCCAGCTACCAACCCTTCCTGTTAACTGGGTTTGTGTCTCTTTCAGCTGACTCACCTGGCCGACCAGTATCCATTCTCCGAGATACGGGGGCTGCGCAGTCATTTATTTTAGCGGGAGTCTTGCCTTTCTCAGCTGAAACGTACTCTGGTGCGGATGTACTAGTTCGAGGGATTGAACTAGGTTGTGTTAAAGTGCCTTTGCATACTGTCTTCTTGAAATCCGATCTAGTCACAGGTCCGGCTCGGATTGGAGTAAGGACTGAACTGCCGGTGGAGGGCATAAGCGTCATCCTGGGAAATGACCTGGCTGGAGGAAAAGTGTTCCCTTGTCCTATTGTGGTGGATAAGCCTGAGGTGACAGGACAGCCAGATGTCGCTGCTCATTTCCCTGCTGTTTTTCCCGCCTGTGCGGTTACTCGAGCACAGTCCCGGAAGTGGGATGATGTTGTGAACCTCGCTGACTCATTTATGAACCCTGTGTCAGACATTTCAGAATGCACACTGTTCATTAAACCTGAGATCTCCCCTTCTTGTGAAAAGATGAACTCTGACTCAGCTGCAACTTCCTTAAAAGTTGGAAAGGAGGACCTCGCTGCAGCTCAGAAAACTGATCCATCTCTGTTGTTCTGTCTGGATGCTGCTGTCAGTTTGGATAAAGCTCCAGGTGGTCCAGTTACATA